AATTTTCCCTTGGGATGAGAAATAGAACTAAGGTGTTTTCGATAGATAGGTTAATCGAACCGACGTTCCTACGGAAGTCGATTCTAGGGGGAAGCTAATGTAACAGCTCAGGTTGGTTGGTTAAGAGTTGACCCCAAACAACCAAGCTTATGCCAAAACAGTATTGTTCAAGTATTCATTCACTTCCTTATTTTTCATAAGCGTTATATTCCCTATTATCTTGAATGTTGAGAGCCTTTGTTTGTCTGAACAGATAATCCCACGCTCCACTGTGACTGCGCGAAGATCGAAATAAAGACCTATTCACTACTTCTCTGGTTTCTTCTATCAATAGCACGAGGGTTACCTTAAGGCACGAAATATGCACCTCAGATTATATTTAAATTAATCGATAGAAATGCTTCATCTAAACGTAAGTATTTTATGAATATAAAAAATAAAGCCCTACGTAGTAACAGCCTAGAATTATCAATACTTCAGCTTTTTAAATCCCGAGTGAAGTTAAATTCCATTGGCACGACTAAGTTTTTCATAGTTAACGGAAGCATTGTTGACGACCCCAATATTATTTGCGAACAGTTCAGTAAGCACTTCTTGCAATGCTACAAAACTGGAACTGAAAGCTTTATCATTACATTTCCAATGCTGACATCCAGACACCTATTGAAAATTGATTTTATACCCTCCAACAACAAGCAGGCCATAGCTGTCCTGAAAAAGTCTTATGATGGTGTACCTGACGGGGTCCCTTCATCATTTGTGAAATATGGGAGTAGAGAATTCCCACGATTTCGTTTGAAACGTTTCAACCTATTTATGGAATATGGGACCTATCCATCTGTATGGAAAACAGCTCTTATCAGCCCTAAATTCAAAACAAGATCCCGCAGTGATAATAATAACTATAGGTCAATTAATTTAACATTCGTGCTCTCAAGAACTAAGGAAAAAATCATCCACAAACAGCTATTATCATTTTTACTTTCGGCTAGTCTGATCAGCCTATCCTAACCAGGGTCTATGACTAAACGCTCATGTTTCACATCGTAACTGGAGTTTTTTGATCAAATTACCCAGAAAAGAGATGTTGGTCAGTCAGTGATAATTCTTTACTTCTATTTTAGTAAGGCTTTCGACAGTGTCTCACACAAACCTCTTCTAAAACTTTCTTCATTTGATATACAGAATCCACTTTTATCTTGTCTCAAATCTTTTTTAGAAGAACGTAGCCAAATCGTTCGCTTTGAATCTTGTGACTCTAAATCTGTGAATGTAACTTGTGGGGTTACACAAGGAAGTGTGATTGGTCCACTACTCCTCCTTTTATCAATGACGTGTGTTCCCACTTTCATTATGTTAAACCTTTCCTTTCTGCCGATGACCTAAAAGTAGTTTATTCATTCTCTTCTCCCACTGAAGAAAGCTATATTTCAACGTTAATCCAAGAAGAAATAAACAAGTTATACTAATGGACTGTTTTGTGGAATTTTCCACCTAATATTAACAAAAGTGGATTTGGTCACATTAGCCGCTGCCTTAACTTAAATCTGACTATACACAAACATACGCTGAAACCTCTCAACATTGTTAGTGACTTGAGTTTAAGATATAGCAACAGTCTGAACTTTTCTGAGCACATGGCATCTCAAGTATCCAAAGCTAGAAACTTCATCGGATTCATAATGATAAACTTCAATAATATCGAATCGAGATTATTATTATTATACATAAAGTGTATCTTATCCATTCTTGAATATGCCAGCGAACGTCTGTTGCAGGGAAACTGCAACCCGGTTCAGAAGTCTCCTTGATGATTTTCCTTCCGAAATTGGATTATGTCACCTATTGTACATCATCGTATTTAATAATGATTTATACAAACAAGGTCCGTCATCCATCTAATTGACTGTAAAGCAAAATGTAACCTTTGAAACTTTTAACGTCTATTTCGCTTTTTTTCTTTCTGTTCATCTTAATATATGAAGTCTGCTTATGTTCGTATCTATAATTATTACTGTTATTAATATCATTATTGTTCCCTCGACACATCGGATATTATTTTCATCTCTTCTATTTCTTCGAAAAATATTTTATTCCTAAACATATGAATTCTATGACTAAAAACAAATTATCTCACTGTACAATTAAATAAATTAACTTCTTAGGTTCATTTTATCTTCACCACATATACATAGCACACAGAAATTTGTTTGGTTATTCTTTTGCAATTATTTGTGAATTTAGTAGCACCATTCTAAATTATTATTGCACAGATGTTCATACTAATATCCGGTTTCACTATGTATGCTATTACATAAATTTACATGTATTTATCCAAGTGCACCGAAAGAACTCTTTTTAATTGTTGGTTTATTTCAGAGGTCGATACTTACTACACAACTGTTATTATCATGGTTGAACTTTTTCACTAGATGTCCATTTCTTTTCTCTTTTTTCCATCTAAATAAGTACTATTCTTAGGTCTACGAAGTTTATAATCAAGACAATTACTTGTATCACACTTAAATTAACTTCTCAGACTCGTTTTATCTTCACTATGCATATATGACTCATTGATAATCCTTATCCTTTTCACTTAAATGAGACTTTCATAGTATCACTCCAAAATATGATTGCACAAACATTTATTCTAGCATCATATTGTAGTGACCTAATTTTATCAAGAGAATACGATTTGTGTAATGGAAACAATTATTATTATAACCAATTGTACCAGAGATTGTTTTACCGTTTTTGTCTGTTTAACTGTACCGAAACACGCACGTTCTTCCATTGATCGTGACCTTGCACGAATTCGGTTACGCTCAGTAACCACACTTGTAACCTGGCACGATCTCGGTATTGTTTCGATACCACGAGATCGCCAACAAATACATCTCGACTACAGCCATCAACTGCCTTCTGATATTTGACCTACGGGGATCTTATCGGTTAAGTGGCACGTAGTCTTCTTGTAGTGTTGATCATAGTCAACCGCGACTCGACGCAAAACCACAATATCTTGCTGCAATAATAAGTTATTTTTTCATAATTATTTTCTATCTTATTTTGTCACTAATTTGACGATACATACATACTCATTTATTCTTGTTCTGTGTTCATATACACGCCTATTGAACTATTTACGTATTTCATGTCTCCTTTATTTCTATTCCCTAATTTTGCTCCCATCCTTCTTTAAACGCAATATTGTTCTCAACTATACAGAATCTGGTTTATTATTATTATTCTATTACTATTGCTCTCTTTTTTCAAATATGGCAAATATAATGCTAACATTATTGAAACTTGTGCATTATTGCACTTTTGAAGAAACCCGAAATGGTTTCTTCACAACATTTATGTACCCATAAGATGTTTGTGGATAATAATAATAACAATAGTAATAATAATGAAGTAGACCACAATTTACAGGTCCACCAATCCACTAATTTTATTACTGAAGTCTGAAGGCCACATCACAACAATCACTCGCACTAATTTGAGCACTAGATGTTTTGACTATGGGCCATAACGTTGGTTAGCCTTTACAGGGACTAGTTAACGTATATTATTTTTTATTCTTGATCAGTGGATACAATTTTGTACGTTGTTAGGATACAAGCTGAAAAAAATATCCATCTCATGAATCCACTCTAGAAAACTTGACAGTTCAGTGATAGATCTAACTTATAAAGTGTTTATAATAATATTTTTCTAAATGACAAAATACTTTTTTACATCTTTGTTCTCAAGATATTTACACCTCGTTGATTTCCTCCTAACTCGCTAGCATATTCTCCGAAGCTAAACACCTATTTAAAAACGGACTATTTGACATATCTAACTGTAAGTTCTTTCGTATCTGATTATTCTGTGAGATCATTAAAGTAACTCGTCAGTTTTCGTCAAGTTTTTGTTTATTTCTTCTGTGAGGTAGATTCTTCTTTTTGTTTTGATTTATGAAGGTTTAAAAGACAAGTGAGTGTACTTCTAGTAGCTTGTTGGTAAACGTAAAATGCGTTCTTTCCCATTATGGTGTTGAGTAGCCCGCTAACTGTACTTTCTCAGATATTCTTGCTTGCTTTTTTTCATTTCCTTATAAGCTCTGATTGCCATATAGAGGGGAGGTACAAAAATTCACTATCTTCAGTAGACAACTCTTAATCTCACTGCTCCAATAAAGCTTCAGCTTTTTCGACGTCATTTCATTCTAAAAACAAAGAATTTTCTCATACAAACAACGATGGGACCTCATCACTTCTCTCAGTTGGTTTCTTTTAATACGAAAACAAACCTTTGAGGCTGTTTTTACGGTCTCTAACAAATGTTTTCACAAGGAGCCTAGTTTTACTAATCAGTGCTTTGTAATCATTTTTAGCTATACATTAGGTGGATTTGAACCGTTCACGGCCTGTAGAGATAAACAGTGTTCAATGCTTTTTCCAACGCATGAGAAGTTTCATGCTCTCTCTAGTTGTCCATAATGGGTAGTTGTTAGGCTTGTGTCGTGTTGAGCATAGTTTAAATAATGATGTAAGGAAATGAACCGTATCTTTAAACACAGATCATACTTCTTCAATTGAGTTGGTATTTCCTGACCAGTTCTGGATGGCTGTCACTTTTACCCTCCAGACATTTGGGCGCGGTCTGACCTGATGGAATACTACAAAAGAAGCCCTAAACGTGAATAACCGAACAACATGATTGTTATTTGCCAACAGTGTGAAATTACTTAGACAAAATTCTCAGTCACGTGAATGATTACTAGGTCTAACAAAGAAGAACTAAAAGATTTGTGTTCAAATATAGAGTGTACTAAAACATGCTCCATCAAAGTCGTTAGACGCCTACTACTGAAAGTTTTTGGACCATAATTTGAAATTCTCTGTGCAAACAATGTCAGCTTCATTAATATTAAGCACATCTTATATTTGTTCGGTCACCTTCTCTTTTCAAAAAATTCAGCTTCTGAAGCAATGTTTTTTCCTTGTACATTTAAGGCGCAAAGTTCGTTTTTCTAGGTCGCGATACGGTTGTTCCCAAAATGAAGTTCTTCGCTACGAAAGCTCCAAATGAGGAAGTTTCACTAACCAATAGGGTGTTTTTTAATCCGAAGGATTTTAATGAAAAACTTGGGTTCGTTTTATTTAATAATCTCAGACATTTTCTCTAGTTGCGTAGCCATACACACTGCGGCTGATAAATATGTATTTCGTGCGGGTTCACACGATCATGTCCCTCAAGGAAAGGTTGCGTTTGGTTTGGCTCAGGTTAGCTTTCTTTTTTTCACACGGATCTATCCAGTGGAACTTTCAGGTTTACAGGTCGTTAAACGTGTAAAATACTATATAGTAGTACACCATACTGATGACTTTTAGGAATTCATCATTCAGTTAAGAAAGTAAGATAGTGGTTGAATGTAGTCACTTTGAAACTCTGGTCTTAGGTTTTGTATTATCTGGCACTTGTCAGCAACTTGCATCTGTTATCTGTAGGATATGAATGCTTTTTTGCAAATTCGGTTCGTATGTAAAATCGCCACCATTGAGCTATTGGGACAGTGACTAAACCCCTGAAAAACTTAAATGTACTCTTGATCGATCACTAAGTTTCAACCAACGTCATTCACATATATCCCTTCATCTTTGAACTAAGTCTATCAACCTTACACCTCGTTATATTACAAATAATTTTGAGTCACTTAATTTAATTGCAAATCACAAATTAATTGGCAGTATTTGGTCAGGATTGCAGTCCTTTTATAAGAGGAACTTGACAAACATGAGTGGTTGCTACTCAGCGGCCAGTCACTTGTGGATCAGGAATGTTTAATTCCAAAACAATTGACAATAAAAAACAAAAACCACTGTGAAATAGATTTAGCGTGGCGAACTTTTGTGTTGAGACATTCACTAGAGTAAAGGTAGAAGGGTAAGTCTTCTCATTAGCAGTCAGGGTAGTGTTGGGTGTCTATAGGGGATTTACCGCCAATTAACATCAGATTTAACAAAGAAAGGTCAGTTATTAGTAATCCAGCTCGAGTTATGGGTTGGTATCACAAATTATGATTAAGGTTGACAGCACTAACTGACACTAGTTATTACTCAATGATGCTTTTTCATTTATGAACTTAAGGAAGTTAATGTTGAGGTTTAGTTAAGTATTAACGTGAGAAAGTAGTATATAACTACATAAACACGTGGATATAGATTGAATCACATCAAATACTCGAACATACAATCTGCGTCAGAGGGAGTTTCTTATAATTTAGCTTCATCACTGGCTGAATAATAAGTTTTCTTTTTACCATTTTCAAACATTTTTAGTGGCCCTAAATCTGACTCCGGGTTGATTGTTCTTAATTGTTGTCGAATGATTGCTGTCAAAATATGCATCCTAGCTATCTTTCATAATCATCGGCTTAAATCGCGTTAGCGCATAACGGAATTAAATAAGTCAAATGCAAGAATGGATTTCAAATACGTGTATTCCGTACAATCGTTGATCGGAAAGCGGAAGAAAATGAAATGACGCGCAATGGAGAAGACGAGTGAGCCAATTCGATTCAATCAAGCGTTAATCGATATCTATAGTCATAAAAACAAGTTACAGACGTGATGAGTAAGATAGGAAATGCACACACATACGCTTATATAAAAACAGTTAAGGTTGATAAGCGAATAATTAACAAAGTTGAAATGTAACTTAAGGAGAATGGAGAAATTGGCCTGTCCAGAAGTTAGAATAAGCCGTGTTTGCTTAACGCAGCAACAGACACCACAATTTCGGTAACCAAATTTTCCCAATTTTTCCATTAGATTCTGGTGATATACTATCTTGCACTTTTCCTCAAATTCCACACAAACAAGTTCATGAGCTTCTGTCTTAATTCTGATTGGTTCACTGACGGTCGTCAATGTAGCATATTTTTAGTATACATTGTCACCTTAATTGCCGTTACTAAGCACAGTATCCATATGCGGTTTGTTCGTTTTTACAAAGCGTTGTTAGCTTTTTCACGGTATTTCTTACGTCTTACTCCAGTCGCTTAATAAGCACTGTAGAATCATGGCATCTTGTTTTTACAGGCTGCAGAAGTTCCGCAGTTTTTAACGGTAGTAGATATTAGTCCCTTCAAGTACTCTACGTCGGTGTGTGGCGCATATATATTGGCGCTCTCTTGTACCAATATTTATGTGTTCAAATAAATAAATAAATAAACTCTACGTCGGTGGCTTTTGGTCCATAAAATGATCTCAGCAAACGGAACTTCAGTGTACACGTGATAACATATGTTCAGACTTCTATACTTTGTGATTTCGGAAAGGACGGGAGGCTGTAAGAACCATGACAGTTTAGTGATGGACTCTACTGGTTGATCAGATCTTTTGACTGGGTCTATAAGGGCTGTTGAGGGAAAACTTTTCATTGGAAAAGATGGTGGTCTGCTGACAAGTACTTGTTCCTGACCTTATTCACGTCTTTGGAATGTAAATTATACGTGAAGCTTTGATTGGAATAATTGAAGTCCTGCTTTTAAATGTATATAACTTTTGGAGCATGAAGTCATTTTTAGCTTAGGAATAAGGAATGAGCATAGAGGTTCAGAAAAGGAAGACACACATCTAACAATCAAGGGATTACTCACGTCTGCTTCCCCTCGTGGAGGAGCACACCAGCGTTCTCAATCGGACTTTATCTCGGGCAGTCCTTCTCAGTTGTTCTTTCTTTTCATGTCTGCTTCCAATTCTCGACGCCATATGTTGTTTGGCCTATCTCTTTTCCGTTTCCTTTCAAGATTCCAAGGTAGCACTCGCTTTGGGATGCAGTTTGGTGATTTCCTTAGTGTATTTCCTATCCACCTCAAACGTCTTTTCATAACTTCCTCTTCATCTGGAGGCTGATTTGTTTTCTTCCACAATAGGCTGTTGCTGATAATATCCATAACAGTCAAGGAGGATGCATCAAATAAGTTTTACTGAAATCACGAACCCATGTATGTTAGCCAGTTATTGAAGATCTGGGAGCACCGAACAACTTTTACGTCCTATTCAAATCCTTGTTCCTACTTTTTTCAAATTAAATCTACATCATTGTTTCGATTAGTTCCTGAGTTTCATGTCTCGATTAGCATCAAGAGAATAAGTTTTGGACATTAAATTGGTGTAATTAGTGATTTGTCCATACGAAAGTGCGCCCAAGTATTTTTGATAATTAACTTTGTATGATTTGTTAATAAAGGTTTGAGATAGGTCATGATGCCACTTGTTTTATTCATGAATGATTGGTAAGCAAAATTTATTAAGCTTAGTACTGGAGGTTGCCTCTCTCTTTGCACCGTGCTGTTAGTGTTGTATACTGGAGGTAGCAGGTGGATCTAGAATTTATGCATAGTTCTGTTTTTGTAATAAATGAAAGTGGTTCGTCGTATATCATTTGTTAACTGTAATAAGTATTTAAACTATAACTTCTGTGCGTTCATACTAAGGATAATCATCTGATAAGTAACGGAATCTTGAAACGCTTGGACTAGTAGTTAACCAATATTGATCCGAGGCTTCTGTCTGGTAATATATTCCAACAGCGGGATTACATGAGAAAAGCGGAGAAGTGACTAGTTTATGAAATAGTTAAGTAAACTGATGAATAATTTTGTTGGATTAGTACCTGGTGATGTTAAAATTCCCTAGATAAGGTTTGATTAATCATGAAACCAGGTGTTTCGAGTTGCTACTGTACGTGGCTCGGAATTTAAACTTGTGGGTATCATAGTATATTTTTCTCTGTTCTTCATCAATAGCGGTGTGCTGTTTAACGAATCCTTCAATATTATTGTGTTACTGTCATTACATAGTTACTATTTCTGCACATTTAGTTTTGTGTAAAGCACTTCTTAATATCCTGTCGCTCCAAACTCCTTGTAAATAAAAATGTTCGAAAGTTCTCTCCCTCATCTTTAAGTTGTCTGTGTATAAATCTACAAAATGCATTTAGTACTTTATTTTTGAGTAATAATGAGTCAGTAATCATATTTCTTATTATTTTATCACCATTCCTCTGGCCTCCAAATATATGATCGTTTCCTTCTTTCCACATTTGTTCCTAGTAAATTTGACCACCCAAATATGTATCGAATTCCATAAGTATTAATCTTATTACATTTGGATACTATTGTTAAATCCCGTGTAGCTGTGTCGATTATTTACAACTAAGAAACAACGTAGTTTTTCATAAAAATTTTGCAAACATTTATGACAATTATCTGGTATTGCCACTGATCCTGCAGAAACAAAACCTTGCAAATGAAGTGTTTGACAGTTTAAACAAATATTCCTGTGTTATTGAAGACTACATTGTCCCATCTCATTCATTCCCATCTATCTTAAAACTAATCGGTTTTACTCCTCATTCATGGTTAGTTATTCGCAGGGACCTTTCAGTTCACGACTAGTTTCCTGAAGCTGTAAAAATTTAGTGAAATAGCTTTTAGTTTCTTGGTTTAAGAAAATTAAAATACCTTCATAATTAATCATAAAAAACCCAGTCTGTTGTCTTAAAAAGTAATCACTACACTGTAAGACTTTCAAACCCGAAATTCCTTGGTTCTAATTGGCCACTTAACGATATATTCGTCTAAGAATCGAGGTGGATTCTAATGCTCTTATCGATGAAGTTCCGTATAAGCTCAAGTGATAGCTCATATATAATTTGTTTGAAACAGTAGTTGGTTTAGTGAGATTTAAAACAACAACCCTTCATAAACGGTTTATTGACCATTATGTGTTTGATCAGATAAAAATTCTATCCCAATTGAGCTTAGTGAAGTTTGTTTATGCACACGTGTAACAATGGTATTTTGTTTTGCAATTACTTGGTATAAGAGCGTTATTTTATTACGCTTTGATGCCGGTGATTCAACCGAGTAAACAGTTATTTGGAAACCTTGGATGTACATTTCATGTTAGCTGAGACTCCAACAAAGTAATACTGAATCACAAATTTTAATCTGTTCCACCAAATTTTAAACTTCAGACGTTACCATCAAAGTTATTCCGTCTGAAATAACTTTCATTCGTACTTATTTAGCTACTTTATTCCATCAGTTACTGGTAACGTTTACTATTTTATATTGCCCACAATTTTGATCGTCTTCTCTTGATTACGTTTGCCACTTAACTGGGTTATCGAGCATTGAAATCCATTTCATTTGACGTTGAGCAATTAGAGATGGTTTTGTAAGGTCGTCATTTTGTGTTTTTTCGGTAACAATCGACAAGATTAATCTTTAATTTATCTTGGGGAGATAAATATGTCAGTGCTTGCGTTGCGAACTTGGTTTACTGGATTCGTTTGGCAATAAGGTTTAAAATGCACTAGTCGCGTGTATAGAGGCAAAGTATAACCGAAAAATTACAAATTTACTTATTAATTCTGGATAAATTTGCATTTTATTACAGAATTTTTTGGTATTATGTCTTATTATATAAATAAAACAGGTAATTTAAACCTTATTTATTTAGTATTCAAAATGTCTAATTAAGTGAATGGATTTTAACGTAGTACCTCTTTTAGTCATGTTAGCTTAATTCACTGCCATAGTAATAGAGATAAGGGGTTGAACTTGACTCGTTTATGGGATGTATTATTTTTGCGGTAATATGGATCATGTTATACGTCTATATCAGTTTTTTACTTAAACTTGACATGGTCTTATGAACTCTAAAGTGATAGTACGTACACTTTTAATATGCTCATTGTGATTGTTTTACAAATTTATTAAATTTTAGAGTAACACTTTTAAGCGATTCTAGTATTTTAATAACACTCAGAAACACTCATGTTTTTTTCAGTCTTCTAAAGTGTTTTATATGCTTAGTATCGAATAAAATAGCGCAATAAATTAACAGTGTTCAGTAAACATGGTAATAAAGTGACACTGAGACTGTGATCTGTTGGTTGCAACGCATGACTTTCAACCAGATTAGAAACTCTCATCATCTACTTCACTTTGCATAATTGTGTAGTATTATTAAACCCTATGCGAAAATTGTGTGTCTGAAAGTCGACTGTATAAACTTTGACTTGGTTACATTGTGTCATTACACTAAAATAAATTAATAAACCATAAAAAGGACAGGAAAATGGGACGGAACATCATGTGAATAAAAAGGTGCGTTATAAAATTAACTCTAACTACAGGCTTTTACACATTACAAGCATTAGGCGTGGTACTGTAATAATACTTGTTTTATTCAGTAGTGACTTTTATCATAAGTTGATGCCAACTGAATAACCTTTGAAAAAATAGGGAGTTTTAGTCAATTACTCTGTCTTATTGTGAGGTTTATTAACAAAGCTTTCAGGTCTCATATACCAGTGAGTCGGGATTTAGTGGTTCATATTCACAATAGCACACTCTGCTCGCGATATAAAATGACGATTATCTAATATTTTAAAGTGGGATTGTATGACTTTCGATATTGTTCAAATTCATTGAATCTTGTTTCATTCAGTTTGAGATCATTGCTTACTTGGAATGTAATTTATTTCATTAAAAGTTATCTCACCTTGTACTTTACTATTTCTCTCTGTGATATAACATAGACATACAAGAATGACATGTCTGTCCCTAATCCTATTCTTCCGTCCTTTATTGAGGAAATAGTTATCTGCAAAAATCAATACATAATTTTTCCTCTCCTTTACGTGTACTCTCAAAGTCTTTGTAAATACTCAAAATTATAAATCACCCTATCTCTATTTATTTCTGTGATTCTGATTACTTTATCAAGTAGGATATATATTCACTTGTCAGCATTTCTAAAATATATCGAATATCAATTTAGGGAATTAGCTGTACGCTTATATATGAACCAGGCAATGTCTTAAAGGAGTTTATGCATCAAGTTTTATATTCCAAAAAAAACTCAGTAATTTATTATTTATTTTAACACATAGATATTGGTACAAGGAGGCACCAAATACATATGCACCACACAAATTTCATTTGATTTGTGTGAGGATTGTTATACTGCCCGGGTGCCCAAACCGAACCAGGTGGTTTTCTTGGGGGGCCACACCCAGAGCCTTTGACCTGAAGGTCTGGTCCACAAGGCAGTGGATCAACATTAGGAGATGCATTCCCATGGTAGCCGGTGACCAACGATTGGTTCATATGCCATTTGTTCCCTCAACATATTGGAGCCCATGTGCACCATTAGTTTGAAATCAGGATTTTCAACTCCCCTGGGAGGACTCTCGGTGTCCACCAACCCGGTTGAAGCGCCGGACATTCGCTTTTCGTCCTCTCAATTTCGTAGGCAACACCCCTGCCTCGAGGAAGTGAGTAGGACTTCCTTGACAGAGGCTATATATGCGTGGCCATGTAAGAGCATTTAGTGAAGAAGAGCGGACTCTACTCACTCGGCCGTACCAGGGCATTTGGGAGCTCTATTATATATATATTTATTATAGTGGTTATAAATTGCTTTCATACGCTAAGATAAGAAGAAGCTGGTGGTATGTTACTTGTATTCCAACCGACTTAATCAACTGAAGTTCCACATTCTCATCAACTGGTTTGATACCTTCAGTTAAAGATTTTTTTGTTTTTAATATAAACACTTTCTTGTGGCCCATGAACTAACTTCCACTTGGAAGAACAAATGAATATGTCACGAATACAAATCTTCTTTTGAACTCCGTATATTACACCTAAACTAAATCCGTTTGTGCGATAGCGGCAATAATAAGGTAAACATGGATTAAGTTTGATGAATTTATTTCAGACATGAAGAATGAAAGCGGAAAAATAAAGCAGAAAATTGTCAAGTGTGCCAACTTAATTTGATCAAGCGTGACTCAATATTTGTAGTCAGATAAAAATAAGCCAAATGCATTTGATGACTGGAGTAAGCGATACACACACGCTCATATAAAAACAGTCAAGGTTAGTGAGCGAACGATGGACAAGAGTAAATAAATTTGTCTGTCCGGAATCTAGAATAACCCATATGGACTTGGCACAGTACTAGACACTACAGTCGACTTGTACAATCACATAGGGGAATTTCGTTATTCTTAAGGCTCTCGAATAAATAATTAACCTGATCATTTAATGGCAGTCGTTATCCTATTAGCGTAGATAGATATATTTCTTACATAATTTCTTTTCTTTTAAAATGGTGCATCTAGTTTCCTGTATGAAATTAACCATGTACATAGCTGATGTGTATATGAAATTTTTTTAAACACAAATTTATGAGAACCAATGCTCATAGAAGTATTAACTATTTGTAATTAGTAGTGAAATATATTTTTGAAGTTTAGATTTTATGCCTTTATCATTACATAATTGAACTACAACTGATAACTTGTAATTTGTTTTGTAAAACTATTTGGTTGTTTATTCTGTATAAGTAATTTTATTATTATCATTATTCTCAAATTATTCACAGCGTAAATGGGGCAATATTTCAGTAGATGAACCGTTAGATGTTCAACCATACACATTTAATTTGGCTCGTGAATGTCTAGGTTCTGCAGTTTTGGCTGTGGATTTTAATAATAAAAAAATGTAAGTGATAGTTGAATAGGGTTTTATTTAAAAAGAAACGTATTCTGTTAAAATCCTGGTGTAAATGTTTGACTTTGTCAACTTTATTGTTTATACATAAAAATGTAATACATGAAATTAAACGTTACCTTCTCCTCTGTGAGTTTTAGACTATGTGTAACTTTCAGCTTTTCATCTAGCCTGAAGGTACCTTATGTACTGAAATAATGTGAAAATCAGTGTGTCAAAGAATCTGAAAGGGAATAAGTAACCTGAAAACTTAATAAACACATGAAATTCACTTGCATTTTCTACAGTCGGTAATAGCGCAGGCGTAAGATTAAGACATCCCAATAATTGAAAGTAGTTGTTAGCGTAAGTTTTCAAATGCATAACAAGTTTTTGGGCACTCACTCATTGAGAGCCTTCAGTACAATTGGGTGTCCTTAATATTTTGCTAACTAAAAATTCCCTATAGAATATTTAAAAATAAAATTACAACAAAGAATTGTTTTCAATAAATTCGTCAGGTTCTACAGTTATAAACCCACAATTATTGCCTTATATCGGACTAAATATAAAGGTATGGGTATAAACTTTCTGGTTGAATTAATCAATGTTATAAATAGAAAATAGTGGGTTTCACGACGGTTAGGTCTTAAATATTAACGGTTTACATCATGGGTGCAGTTATCAAGGGTCATACTAGAAGGGGTAGAAAAAATTATTTCCCCTTGTTGGGGATGTTAGATCCCCAGAACTCACTTGGTAAATGCCTTAATTTTATAATTTTATTTTGGAAATATGAAATTCCTTGTTTTTGCGCCGAAAGCGCACTTTTCGCCATCATGTCTTATTTCTCACTTGGAAGAATCTTTAACGCTATTGGTCCGTTGTGTATACAGTGTATACAGTTAACCAGAGAACAATATACTTATTTATATTCAATAATTTTGATGTTTGATTATATTTCCTTGAAAATGCTTGCACCAGATTGCCAGGCGAAACGTTAGATTTACTTCAAATTCATTCGCTGAGATTTTACAAATACATTCTTCCTCCTTAATGTCTCACATCAACTCGGCGTCCAAATACTGTGAAACTGTTCTATCAGATTTAGACGGTTGCTATTGGTTAGACTTTCAAAACTTATCAATTCACTTGATACATAAAGGATACACACTACAATTTACAAGGTACTGCGTTTTTGAACGTTTTCTTGGACATACATCGCGTAACTTTCGTTCAACAAATTCTTAGTTCTTGCTCACTTTGGTTTAGGTAACTGAGTAGTATCATTATCGATCTAACGTATCATGAAGTTGTATATAACTTGCTTCATACAAATTATTTTTGTCTGTTCACATGCATTTATAAATGGAGGAAAGTTGGTTAATGGTGTTTAGTTCGTTGTCTCAGTATTGTATGCATTATTCATGATGTAATAGTCACCTCTCTCTCTCCCCCCATTTTTTGACATTTCAACAATTTCCGTTTTAAATCTCCTAGGTCGATCAATGAGCCGTTAGATTCAGATCGAATGGCTTTAGAATTCAGCATGCAATTCGCAGATACACCATTAACCGTCGGTCAGCATATTCTTTATCGGTTTAACAAAATGACATTCCTTGTTGAGGTTAAGAAATTGTCAGGTAAGTATTAACACACACAACTCCTGTAATGTTTGTTTTGAAGTAAAGGTTTTATGATCGATCTCTTAGATTTTGTAATATGTGAATACTACCTTGTAACTGATTATTTCATACAAGCTGGAGTAGTTCTAACCTCTAATATGAGCGCCCGTATTTTTTATTTCATTGTATGTGCATTGACTGACGATAGAAAATGTTAACCAACTAGCGCTTATCATTAGGATAAACAGAATAACATAAAATCTCATACAATAGCTGAGTAGGTTGATACAATTTGTTCTGTAGTAAAATGACAAAAAAAATCTGAGTAAGAGAAATAATGAAATTAACTAAAAGAGCATTAAAAGTTCATTAATTAATCACTAGAGAGGTAATCAATGTCCTATTTTCTAACTGCTTTATTAGTGATGATTGGTTTATCAATGGTCAATTTACATAATGCACTAAACTCAGGTTAAGTGGTTAAATGTTTTTGTGTAGTTTACTTCTTGTTATTTAGTTGGAAATAGTCGGTGGTAGAAAACCATGCTTGACCTAAATTTTGTCGTAATTAGGGCTCGTTAGCAAGGTGTACTTTGAATTTCAGAAAAACCGGTAGTCTTTGTGGAATGTGGACCCGTATTACTCAGCTTTACAGTCTGAGACATGTAACCACTGAGCTATTCGAGACATTATCATCCCATGTAGGGTTGAAATATTTACATTGATTGGTCACGATTTTATTCACTGACTGTGATCAGTTGAAAGATGATCAGAAACATATCATAGAAACGAATTAAATCTATCGCTAATTGTTTTGTCTTTTTGTTCAGTCTATGAAAATTGTCTGAATATCAGACTAATTTAAATTCATAAAGGGAACCAATTGCATGTAATTGTTATGAAGTGATAATTTCTTTATATAACTCGTATTTCAATTATGTTTATAATAAATGTTATTGTGTTTATTTCGAAGCTTTGTCAATGGATGGTGATGTTGACAATAGTAAAGTAAGTCTACTAACACATTGTTTTTGTGTAGTATTGTAATGGAACTTCTTTTTTTAGAAATAATTTTAGTGTAACACTTATTGCGGTAGTGACTAAATTTCGTTAACCACTTTTAGGATTACTCAAACAATAAATGGTCTTTTATTTCCAAGTCAACTTCATAAATTACTTATTGTTAAATACATGGATGAAATTTACTTCATAGTCTAAAAGTGGTTTGTTCCCAAGCGAGGAAGGTTCCTCATTTATCTCAGAAGCCTTATTAGCTCTGGTTCGTTGGTGTTTAACGAGATCTCGGTAAAGAATTTAGGAGGATGGGTTAGCCTTCACCTTCTCGAGTCATTTATGGTGTAGACAAGATGTCCGTCTCCCAACTAAAGGGCGAGTATACTGCTCAGCACTGCGCGCTATGGCTGTGAAACTTAGTTTATAAATGTAGAAGATACATGTGGGCTATACTAAACAAGTGTTATATTAACTCCTTGTTTCTCAGCTGAGTTACTAAGCTCATACACTATTTTTACAGTATATTTTATCAGGTAATGCGGCAACTGGAAAACTGTTGATTCTTTTTGTGCAACATTAAAATCTGCTTGACAGAAGGTTCATTCACTTTCTAATGTTTGTTAAAAGTGTAATTCATATGGGGTATTCTAATGTTCCTTATGATCTCTTTTTATCAACATTTTTGAACGGATTGATCATACTATTTTCCACGTTATTCTTACTACTACCCTCAACAGATTGGCATGTTAACTGGGAATACAGTAATTCGTTGGATGCCTCAATCAGATTCTAAATTATTATTAATTGGTAAAGCTGCATTGGATGACGATGGAGCTAGTTCTATTGGAGGGGGTGGTGGCTATCATAGTATCATCAATCCAAATTGGGATTTTAATCAAATGGGTATCGGTGGATTGGATAAAGAATTTTCAGCTATATTTCGACGAACCTTTGCATCACGAATGTTTCCTCCGGCAGTTGCAAAACAATTAGGTTTGTATAATTCTTTATTGACTTCTGGAATTGTTATGCTAACTAATTGTGAAATATTTTCTTTCTCATGTAGTACACATGACCTTAGTAACATCCGCGCTTTAAAATGATGAATTTCTGTGTTGATTATAAGTTGATTATAGTTGTGAATATCAGTATAACTGAAGTAAGAGACATTGATTTACAAACTAAAATGGTCTTTATACTCCCTTTGGCCTTTTATTTGAAGTGTTCAATTTTAATGTTTGGAAAAATAAGATAAGTAAATACCTTTGAATTCCAATCGTATTTTCGAATTTTTTTAACGCTTATAGTGATGTATCCTTGAAACTAACTTCATGGTGGTTAACTTCGATTGCAGTCCCCGAATGCCTTGGTATGACCGAGGGTGGGGGGAGTCCACCTTACCTTTTAAAAATATTCTCATATGACCACGCTCAAATAGCCGCTGTCAGAGAAGTCCTACTCTCCGCCTTCTGACGATAGAGTCGTTAACGAAATCGAGATAACGAAAGGAAAATGTCCGGCGCTTAGACTTGGTTGGTGGGTACGAAGGATCCACCTAGGGTGCACATGGGCCCCAGCTTTCTGATGGGACAAATAGTGTGAAAACCTTGGTCATCGGTCGCCATGAGAATGTATCGCTTACCTCTACCTTGTGAACTAGATCTTTAGGTCAACGACTCGGGGATCGGCTCCCTAAGAAAAATACCTGCTTCAGGTTTGGCACCAACCTTCACACAAATGTTTTGTGGCCCATATATGTTTTGGTGCCCATCTGTACAACTGTTTGTGTTCAAATAAATACTAACCTTATGAAATGTTATAATAGGCCGCGTAGAATTAAACAGAGGTAGATGGTGACTAGCAATGGAATCCCGGATGCGCCTTTCGTCTTACTTGGGATTCGTCAGCTGGATGTTCCTGTATCCGAGAGTTGATGTTCACTTCGGGACTCCGAACCAATACCGTTCGCTCCAAATGCTATCGCGTTACCCACCTGACTACTTAGTCCTGATAGCCACTTTCTTGTGCAATGAGGTAAAGCAGGTACATCCAGCTGAAGAGTCCCAAATGGGACGAAACGCGCGTCCGGGATTCCACTGCTGGCTACCACTCATCTATAATTATTATGCTTGCGACTTAAGGCAATATTTAGTCAATCTCCACAGGATGCACATATGCCAATAAGAGACTGATCAACTGCAGTCCTAGACATCAATGGGAAGATTCAAACAAACAATACAAAGATGAATTTTGTAAAATTAAGTTTGTTCATTTTATTATCGAGTGTTGCGAAAACAAATCATTGTTGCTGTATTGGGCAATTATTAAAGCATTCAACTAATACTATTTTACAGGGTTTCGTTTGGGCAGTTGGGTAACATCACCTACCCTTTAAATGCAAGACGCGTTCTTCAAAGTTGTAGTGAGTCATAATCAATGTAGGATCTCATAAGATTGTACATTAGTCCAAGATGGCATGCCATAACAGCATGAAGAGTTATTTAGGGAATGAATCAAACTAATTATAGTAACAGTAATAGTGAAAAAGATTAAACATTAAGGATATGGTTTAAGAAGATGAAATCAAAAGGTATACTTGAAGTAATATTAGAAATAATTAACTACAGGAAAATTAAGTGTCCATACATCTACTTCACTGTGACCGATACTGATCGCTATCACTCAGTTTCTTCAACTATTGATAACCGTTATCGTACTGGCTGCACACATCAATATGGTTTTGGACCAACAATCATTGACTTTATAATTAGATGTTATGTCTTGGTTTGACCACTCTTAATTTTCTTTTCGCTTATTTTCTGAAAGGCTGGTACAAAATTCAGTCCTTGATTACAAATATACTTTCAATATGTTTTTCATTTTAATCTATATTTAATTAATAATGTTTACAGTTCACTGATTTTCTCCAGGTTACTGATTACTTTATCCTTTACTAACTAGTATTTTATTAAATTTGAATCTACTTTCATTTACTAATAATATCTTTTAATTATACATCAAAATAGGTCCATTAGAAAAAGAAAAAAAATGATAATCAGTCAGTCAGCTACAACGTACGACCAGGCACATATATGCATAGGTCCAAGGTGCCATACCTCATTAACACAACAAGATGAACACCGGATTCATAAAAGTAGTTAATTCAGAGGTGGTAATGTATAAAAGAAAGATTGCAATAAGGATATAGTACAGGAAGAAAGAATTAGTTCGTAGAAAGAAAGATATGAAGCGATTTTAATCTCTTAGTTTAAGGGAAGACAGAGAGTGTATACACCGACGCCATTGATAATAATCATTTCATAAACAAAGATTTTTTTTGTACTAGAATGATTTGAATGGTGCTTTTGTATAGTTTCAAAGTAATTGTATGACCAGTAGTGACTAATTTTTTTTATTCAAAGTTTCAGTTCAGTAAATCATTAAGTAAAACTATACTAAGATAATTATAATTGTTAATATTAAGTTATAGTTGTACTGTACTGTAATTGCAAACTGGCTGAGTCAAAAAGTTAAGATTCAAGCATTAAATTTAAAAAATCATTGTTTTTGGTTATAACATTTGACTGTATGACTGTAGGGACTTCATACTAGAATTTAACTAAGTAATCATTGATGAGTATTGTTCGGTCAAAATCTAACTGTATCTGGTCAGCTATTCCTGTAAAATAGATTTATGAAGGCCTGATACTTCATGTACTATCTACCTATTTTACCTAGTTCTACAACTATACATTTATTCGTTATTGTTCTCGCTTGCATCAAGTCATATACTGTGCTGGGATTTTCTTGAGTAGTAAGTGTCTTCTACTCAGGGAAAATCAATTTGCACATAAGTCATTTAGAGCAATCCAAGTTCTCTCGTTTTAATTCATTCTTAGGTCATAGTTTTGACCCTTTTAATAGTGTGTGTGCTATCTACAGAGCAAAACCGAACTAAGACAAGGTGATCATCTCGTTGTTCATCTGAACGAACGAACTTCAGACAAAGATGTTTCATTGAAGCAGAAACGTATAATTAAGTGGATACTCAAAATGACATTTATAAGAATTTACAATTAGTACAAAATCATAAAAAAGACCAATTTACTGAAAACAAGTTTTTCAAGATAAAGGTTTTTTTACACATCTGAAATGTTATGCTTATTGGCTATTGGCTATATACGCCTAACATAAATGTTACATAGTGAATATACTTATACTCAGTGTCTTACTACCTAGCGTCGGATACTCAAGAAAGGAAAATCGACAGTCAGTTTTTCCTTAAAAGTTCATTCGATTGAAATTTAACAATCGATTTCGTAAACAAAATGATCGATTCAGTCACTTCAGATCATTCAAATAAATTTATCAAATCGATTGTTTGATCATCAAAGTTTTATTTATTTTGAACCTGTAAGGTACATTTGCCGTTTATTTTCTTTTCTTAAAAAAAGGACTTCAGTGATTTTAAATATCTTTCTTGTTCAGGTTTAAAACATGTCCGTGGTATTCTGCTATACGGTCCACCTGGTACTGGTAAAACACTAATGGCACGACAAATTGGTAAAATGCTTAATGCACGTGAACCTAAAATTGTCAATGGTCCAAGTATATTAGATAAATATGTCGGTGAATCTGAAGCGAATATCCGTAAATTATTCGCTGATGCTGAAGAAGAAGAAAAACGCATGGGTGCAAAATCTGCATTGCATATTATTATATTTGATGAAATTGATGCCATTTGTAAATCACGTGGATCTACAGTAAGCAGTTGTCATTATTGTATTTTTGCTTTATAGTACAATAAAACACTATTAAATTTTTTACATGTGTTATCATCATTTATGAGACATGATAGTGATTGGGAACTTGTTTAACAAAATGCAGATTCGTGGACAGTCCGGTTTAAAACGCCTTTTTATTCATGAGCGCTAGTTACATTTACAATTGATTTGTCACTGGGTAGTGACCAATGTCATGTATGTCAAGTCCTTCTTAGTGCTGCAGTGTGGCCTAGGTTTCATGCCATTATGTGGCACTTGTTGGGAGTGTATACTTGTAATCTTGAAGGAAGCAATGTTTCCTGAAGAATTCAACCTCATGTCATTCAGCTTCACGTTCAGATACATTACCACTGAAGTATCCGACCCGCAACTGTTTAAACTGTGATTTAGAGAGTAGTTTAAATGAGCTGTTTAAATTCTGGTATTTCTACTACTTAGCTATCTTTCTGTATGTGATGCGATGATAAATACTTCTTAACTCAATTGTCCGTTTGCCATAGTATTATTCATTTCACGATGTTAAACTAAAACACTACACTTTTTGGTGTATATGATCTTCCTTGTCCACTCTTTGAAAATAAAAACTAGAAAGACGAATATGTTTGAGTTAATGCATTCAACATTTGATCGATGAAAAAGAATATTTGTAGCGCCCGGATAAACAGAAAAGTTTCTCCATTTTAGATGAACAACAGGTTATTGGCTATTGAGAAAACATTTATAAAATATAAATTTTTTTGAATAATTACAGTGTCAATGTAAGGCGCAATTGATGCTGGGATGTTCTTACTGTGACGTCATTAATAGTAAGCTATTACTTTTATTTGACTTACGTCTAAGAACGTCGCAAGTTACCATATTATTCGTTGTTTGAAATGCCACACAAAACGTTATGATAAAGTGACACACGTTAGTTGGACTCAACTATCCTTCGTACCACTGAGCAATCTTATATAATTACCACCTATTCCCCTTTTTAACCTTATTCTAGTGTCGGTGTGTAACCAACGATATATATATATCTAATACTTTTCCACTGTGATTGTAACGATTTATTAATTACACTAATCATAGCAGTTAGTAAAAAAAATCAACTTTGAGAATACATCTGTATTGTAATTTCTAGTTTCACAGGGAGATTAGAAAATACTTGATAGCCATCACATCAAGACACAATATTACTTTATAAAATCATTTACTGTTTGTAATCTGTTATTGGAGATTTTACTTGACAACTTAATATCAGTGGTTGGGATGTAAATAAATTCATCTACTTTTTTCTACATTCTTAATTTGCTATTATCCTTTTATTCACTATTTTCTAACTATTTTTTACAGTCGGTTATTCATTATCGTTTCTTTTTAAAATTTTTTAATGACTTATTCGCTTTTTTATTTGTGAAAATTGTACCTAGATGTGTTATAAAATGATATATAGGTACTTGAACTATAATACCCATTTACTTAGTTGTAATTTTGTTTCTAGCTGGCTTTGGATCCTCACTGGCATTGAATTGCAATAGGTGAAATCTTAAGCAATACTCTTATCCTACCTTGTCTCGCAGTTTGTAAACAACTGTACGAAATATTAGGTCGGTCTTGAATGATATAATTGTAACTTCAATCCATTTGTAATGTAGCTCGACAATCATCCAATGCGATCGGTGACGAATACTATCGATCTTTACAGAACACCTTCAAATAAATTACGAGTTATTTATTTCTGTCCGTAAGATTTTTAGTGTTCAATCAAGCATCTTATGGTGGTTGCTTGTTAAATGAATATATATATGTGATATTTTTTCCTCTCGTTCAGGGTGGAGGTGCTGGTGTACATGACACTGTAGTCAACCAACTACTAACTAACATGGATGGAGTGAATCAGTTAAATAATATACTTGTCATTGGAATGACTAATCGACGAGATATGATTGATGAAGCACTTTTAAGACCTGGGCGTTTTGAAGTATGTTTTTTTCGAAAATTGTGAACATTGTCGTTTTTACTACTTCTTATAAGTAGAAGAAATGTATGATCAATAGAGCTACACTGTCGTTTTTATATGTTTCATGTTTTTTTATTGTTATGGCAACTCAAAGGATTTGATGTGACCATATTGTTAATTCGCTTGAATCTTAGACACCGGTTTTTGAAAATGGGACCATTAACCAACTAGCTAAAATATGTGGACATCTCCTAAGGATCATCAAAGCTACACAAAAGGTTAAATGATGCTTTAGGATGGCAGAATCTACAGATTGAAGCTGTAATAATAGTACATGTTATACTCACCAACTATTAACTCAACAACCATGTAATTCATAATAGTTTCTCTAATTATAAAGAAGGACGATTAGTTAGAGTTCTTCATATACTGCTAATTTCTACTGTGCTCAACAGAGGTGAAGTGCTGAGAACTTCACAAGTTTATTGAATGAAAATATACTTGCGTACATGTTGTACCGGAACATAACCTAAAAATATATTTATTGGCTTTATGTAATCGGTTTAGGACAAGCATTTTCCCGTTAAGTCTTCTCGTTAATGAAACTTCGTAACTCATTACATATGAAATCTACTGTTTCCCCGAAAGGTACGTTCGTGAATCAAGATGATGCATCAGTTACGAATTTATTATTCATTTCCAAATTTCTGATTCTATGGACAAATCCAAAGTTATCTTTGGCACTGTGTTTTAAAACCTCTTCACACAGTGGTTTTAGAAGTTCTGCTATCCATTCTGGAGTCACATAGTAAGGTGGATTAATCTTGTCTAGGATTGAGTGAAAAGATAAACTAGTTTTATTTACTATGGGGGGGGGCATAGAGTCTAGGTGTCGCAGTACCAGTGCGTTTGAGTATCACGTATAAGTCTTGAAATATTAAAATTGTTTGTTTCAAGTTTCAATATTATCTTTAATCTTAGAGAAGATTTATTGACTTGTCAACATAAATTAGCCATAAATTACAACTTACATTTTTATAAAGGTTTTAATAAATTCTATTTGAAGAAGGCATAAGTATGTAGAATCAAAATTAGTCATTTATATCATCAGCATCTTTTGCTTTCAGTTGTCCAGACGTAACTTTAGTTTAAAAGTACATATCGAAATCAAGCCAATTGAATATTATCAGTATATAGGGTTGTGGAGATTGTTAGGTTTTGATTGAGATCGTGACTGCTGAAGAGTCCCATACTATGACGAAACGACCGTCCAGTGCTTCCAAGTTTTCAATGGTGGTCTAAGATTAATTCATTCATGATACTAATGAAAACTAAACATCATTTGCAATCTTTTTCCAAATTATTTCTTAATATAAGATTCAATGAAAATTTCATTGTCTTTCTTTTGGAAATAGATTTATCACAAAAAATCTTTCGGGATAATAGAAAAATTCATATAGCGAAAAACATTTTGATACACATTCTTACTTTTTTGATGAAACTGTACAAAAAGGCTTACTGTTTAAGTAGATAGTATAACTCTGTCCATTTAAAAGGTGATAATTTCTTATACATGAATTAACATACACTCAAAATGATTACTTACTTACACCTGTTACCCGTTGTAGAGGAGCATATACCGCCCACCAGGTTGCTCCATTGAACTCTACTCATAATGATACAATTCAGTAAATAAAGTTTTCAATTTTAAAACATATTTTTATGTAAATGAACGTCAATCATACCCGTCGGTTACTAAAAACTGAAGTGATTGAAACAACGTTTGAATTTGTGACTGTGTTCTTCAGCCATTGAGCAGCTAAACCATTGGAACTCATTAGTTTTTTTAATTATATACATCTTTGTACAAAATAAATGTGATTGTTTTTTTTTAAACATCAAAACTAATGTAACGATAACTTGATTTCATAAACTTATCGTTTTATTCAAAACCTGTATTTTTTGTTAGAAAAAATATTCTCAATCTACAAACTCGTTGTAATCCTTAAGATTTAATTGAAATGTAATCTAATAAGTTCAACCGTGTTGGGTGTAAGGCAGTTACCCTCCGAAGGCAATAAAAGACAGTCGAACAATATCGTAGATTGATTAAAGTTGAAAATTAACACCGTTAGATCTCCGCTCAGTGGTCTAGAAGTTAAGGGTTTGAGTGTGAGACCGAAGGTCCTAGTTTGGAATCCCGCGTGCAAGGTCGTGCATGTGCACTGTTGAGTAGTCCCATATTGGGATGAGACGACTGTTTAGTGTTTCCAAGTTTTCAATGGTGGTCTAACGTTTATCGGTTTATGATTGCAATGATATTTAAATTTCATCATCGAAATCGTTATTTTGATTCACCATCGAGTACGTAAAAAATATATACTTGATCATTGAGTTACTTTTATTATAAGGAAGTTGATCACTTTATTTACTTTGTACTATTCACCTTTAACATTATTTTTAATTTAAGATGCAAATGGAAATCTCTTTACCAGATGAAGATGGTCGACTTCAAATCTTAAATATACATACATCGAAAATGCAACAGGCCGGTAAATTGGCACGTGATGTTGATTTAAAAGAATTAGCGGCTAAAACAAAGAATTTCAGTGGTGCTGAAATTGAAGGCTTATGCCGCGCTGCAGCATTCACCTCAATGTATCAATTAATAAGTGTAAGTTTATTATTAGTTTTCCAATATGAAGTAGTTCAGTATATTATGTATTATTTATTTTTAACGAAATAATAGAGGAGATTCGCAAACTAAGTGATGGTTGCTTTCAGTTGCATTCTGTTATCCGAGCGAAATAGTATATAATGATGAAGCTTTCTTTTAGTTCTGGACAGGATCACCAGCGCTAATTTCATGTAGAAGTGTTTTTTTAGATATTCCACAGGATCTAAGTTAGACTGTCCGAATGACCTGTGAATGTGTTAGAGGAGTCCAAAAATATCTCTCGTCAAACTCACTAAAGGCTCAGAGATGCCAGGAAATGTTTTCCAGTCAGCGCTGAATTGTATTTTCGCAGAAACGTCTAGACAATGCAATATCACGTGCCACCGTTTTGATTGGATATTTGCCTATACTGCTGCTATAACTAACTAGTATGGCTCCGGAGATTTCTAGAAGCTCGTGGTCTTGTGTACGTCTGTAAATACCAATGGTTTTCTGTGCATAAACTAACCTTGGAGAAAAGTTTTCGCTCGCAATGTTTACCATCTCTCATCTCTCTCTGTTGACATGTAGTGGCTGCAGATATGACGACCGGTTAGGAAGGCCGTTTAAGCTTGTTGGGAGTAAGAATGATCAGAATCGTTGCCGTCGCCAGTTTTCATTATTCTTGTTGACCGTTTTGTTCAGTCAACCTCTGGGCACCTAATTGACTGATCTTTTCCCTATTGATTAGTAAATAGTGTTTATATCGATACACCTAATTATCGCGGACTGATCTAAATGCTATACTTCTAGAGATTTTTTAATGTTCTCTGAACTGCTTCGATCTAGGATTTCAAAGCTTTTGTCTGTATTATTAGCAAATCGATCGACTGACCCTGCCACTGTATTTGCCATACCATCGAGAGGTCATTTAAAACTCTGGTATTCTTAAACCTGTAAGTGAATTATAGCTCACTTTATTGTATATATAGAATAAAACAGTTCCACGACGCACTACAAATGATAAATTTCTGTAGATTCTATTTTAGATAATGAAAAAAGATATTGCTGTATGTAATATAACGAGTATATGTGTGCATAGATTGAATATTTGGGTTGAATAGTAACAAAAATACATCAAACATGAGATTTATGTACCTAAATAAAGTCTTCTTTCTTAGGTCAACATTTTTGAAAGTTTCATTACCAACCTAAACATACTAATCGACAATGTTTTATGATGTCATTATTAATAAGCATTGAGATTTCCGTGAAACACACACATCACAGCCTCATGGCCATGGCTTCGGTCAAACTAGAATCCGGTTGTCCTTGATCGTCTTGAATGATTTCATAATTTATCTACCTATTGTTTTATATCATTTACGTGTTTAGTATTTCCATTCCTTTCGAGTATATTTGTTTCGTAACACTTTCAATGATTTTGATTATTGTTTCTGAATTATACCTCTTATTAACAGACCTTAACCAATAATAGATATATCGTAAAGAGCTAATTGAATAGAGATAATTCTTTTTGATAGATCAGTCTATATATTGAATTTCATAGCTTTATTCTTGTAAACTTTGTCAAATTTGCGAATGTGACTTAACAGTAGTTTGTAGTTTAACACACAATATCATCGTAGTTTGGTTGTATTTGGTGAGTCTACTGTTATGTTTAACACAATGATATCTACTTTTGTTTCGTTTTTATTTCTCCTTTTTTGTAGCCATCCGGGAAAACTCAATTGGATCCTGATGCATTTGACCGATTGTTAGTAAAACGTTCTGATTTTCTATACGCATTGGAACATGATGTTAAACCGGTGAGTATGTATACTCTTTTCAGTATAAATTTGTCTTGGTTTCTCAACTGAAATCATGATGAGAATATTCAGCTCAAGTAAAGTGCCTTTGACATGGTTGTAATTTCTGAGATAGATAGTTTGTGCGTAGAACTATCATTATTACCCAGGACAACTTCCTCAACGTCTAATTCATGTAGAAGTGAACTTTTCGGTTATTCTACAAGTGTTATATCGTTCTGATGACTTTGTGATTCTTTTTTCAATCAATTGTACAGTTTCTACAACTTTCAAAGTTGGTAGTCAATTTTACCTACTTTGATGCATGTTGTTCGGTGTTTTTCACGTTTATATTATTTAACTCTTACGCTTATTTTTTATGAATCTTTTGTGTTGTTATGACTATTTTCTTACACGAAGTTTTTCAAAAAATGTTATTTCAGGCTTTTGGTGCTTCTGAAGAAGAACTCAGCTGTTATGCTCCTCGTGGTATTATGATGTGGGGCGAGTCTGTATCACATGCATTAGATATGGGTCGACTAGCTGTGTCTGCAGTAAAAGAACCAGATGTTGAAACGTACAGACCCTTAACTTTATTATTAGAAGGTCCACCGAAAGCTGGTAAAACAGCGCTAGCTGTTGAGATTGCACGATTATCTGGATTCCCATTCGTCAAAATTGTTACGTCACATAAAATGATTGGATTCACTGAAATGGCTAAATGCGCTGCAATGAAAAAGGTAAGTAAACAGCCTTGGTAATAATTATTTGTAATGCTTTTGTTTATCTGTTTATCAGAAGGTCGAGTTTTGTATTTAACTACATAGATCTTTCTTTGAGAGGGCGAACCTATCAGACATCATCTAAAAATTAAGCTTATTACACAATTAGGCGATGAATGTGGAGATCACTGTTCTGCTTATTGTTATCATTTTAAGTCAAACGAAATAGATTGCTGAATATATCAGAAATTTTGATGAAGGTTTGTGTTTTTTCTGTGAAGTTCAATATTTCATTTAGAAACATTTTAATTGATACAGTACGTCAGATATGTAGATATTGATCAATGCTTTCTGTGTATTTAACTCTATTCTTGAATCGGACTCAGAAATACTACTTCTGATATACCGTCATGCCAGGGAATTCGCAAACGAACTTATTCACGCCATCTATATGTCATGATTGAGTTGAAATAATGACATTTAATTCCCTTAGTCAACTTCTCTGAATTTCGAGAATTTGCTGAATAATTCTCTATAAAGCCCCTACACGAATAAATTCGAGTAGAGTTTCAAATGTGTCATTGACATATTGTTCTACATTGACTTTCATCCTGTTGTTATCAGTATTTAGTTTTCGTTTTATATATAGACAAGCACTTACTCAAAGTTGTCAAATAACTTCTAGTCGTTATAAATATGATCACTGAAAGCCATCAATGTTTATGTCTGTGCAGTTAGAACCTAGGGTAAGATTGTGATGTATCAGATAAGTATAAAGCCGAAGAGACATTTTGTAGATTGTCTGTTTGTTTGTTATTTGTACCCACTCATCAACTCATTATCTTCCCTATTTAATCGTATAATAGGAAATTGGAATTTATTGTTAAATTCCTATTACAATTAATAGCTAATGGATCAAAGTGTACGTTTGTCGTTAGGTTGAGTTGATAGTTCACTGTAGCTGAGATTCTAATCGATAGTAGTTAAACCCCCACGATTCTCAATTCCGATAATTATCATGCGCTCACTAGTGAGTAAGTTCGAGCGGAAATTTTCGAAGTTGTAATTAGAAGCCGTGACAACTGGATATCAACCGTCCCGGGTGTGAGGTTGTTACCCACGAAGACGATGGGAGATATTTGCACAATATTGAAAATTGATTGGACACACATATACATATTTAAACCTCTGGATTGCGACCTAAAGATTTGAACGTTAATCTTTCGTCTCGAAACCTCGAATGCTCTGGGTTCGATCATGGGTATTGGGGTTACGAATGCTCACTGCCTGATATTAAAATTTTAGGACTAAATAGCTGTCCAGTACTTCCCAGTTTAGAAAGGTTGTCTGACCTAGATAGGTTCATGATTCCAATCATATATTGCAAATTGCTTTGTTCTTATCATGCCATTCTCATTATTTCTTATAACTACCATTGATATTTTTATCATTGTACCATTGTCATTACTATTCGTCATGTCGTCTGAAGTCTTTCGTATCATTAAACTGGGAAAATACCAATCGTTACTTTCATTATTCTGTTTTGTACATAAAGAAATTATTTTACCAAACTTCTAGTTGCAGGAGAATTCAGCTTAAACACAACTACTTCTTAGATTAAATTATTGAGATAACAATTAACAAGTGTATTCTAATATTTGCTTACTTCATATATAGTCTTTCTTTCCTACCTCACTACAAAATGTAGATTTTTGACGATGGTGCCAAATCACCGTTAAGTGTTGTGATTGTTGATAATATTGAAGGTTTAATTGAATACAATCCAGTTGGGCCAAGATTTTCAAATTTCATTGTTCAAGCAATTCGTGATTTGGTTTCTCAACCATTGAAAGCGGTTAGTTATTTAAATAATTACTTACTTTTACCTAGTTTTTTTCTATATACCCATACTTACATTTAAGTAGTATCATTTTTAGTAGGTGGTGTTAGTCTTTTTAATTAACAGATCAATTGTTTGTTTTGTGTTCTATGTTTTGCATATTTTCATTCCCTTGAAAAGTGCGTTTGCATTGCTTTTTGTAGGGTCGTCATATGCTAGTATTGGCTACAACTAGTTGCCGTGAAGCGTTAACAGATCAAAATCTTACGCAAGCTTTTTCATGGCACGTCCATGTTGCTATGCTATCAAGACCTGAGCATGTAATTGCTGCGTTAGAAGAGGATGGACGTTTTACATCGAAAGAACAACAGATTATTGAAAAATCTTTATCGGGTCGTCGGTAAGTGCTACACTTTTTGTGTCATTTTGTTTTCGCGATATAGTCCTGTGCCTTATTCTTTTCTCTGCTGATATCAAGATATATTTATATTTATATAAACTATCACATCAGTTTTCAGACTAGAATACCTTCTTCTCATGTAATTGTCTCGTGGATGACACATTCTACCTGATTGTTAATTATTGTTTAGATTCCTGCGCACCTTTTAAAACGTACAGGCTTAGTAAACCTAACAAATTATTTATACCAGCTATATATCGCAATAAATTAAGACGCTTACAGAAACGTTATTTTAAGTCAAACGATTTCACGGCAGTTGCACAAATGACAATAATTTTCATTCAAATTAAAGAGTAGCACAGGTTAATAGCCATTAATGTGGAGCTGTTAGCACTTATTACTAGCTCAAAAGTGCAAAACTTAATTCTCCTTTTCAATAAATGCGTTAGAGCAAGTCAAAATGTTGATATACCATGCATCCTGCATAATGACACTTTTATATACGACTCAAACCATAGCAGTGGTTTTTTGTTATTTTTGAGAACGATAAAGAATTCTTAAATGACTGTTTCAAAAGTCATGTATGTGACAGGTAACTCAACAAAATCTCTCTCTATCACATGCCTAAAAATTAGTAAGGCTATAAACTCCTTTAAGGTTTCGAGCGGTCATGAACTAGACGCGATTTCATCCTTCCTCTACAAACATGGTGGTCCAGATATTCCACTTCTTCTTCTAAAGCTGTTTACTCTCTAGAAGCAGGTACTTAAGCTTACTGTTGGAAAACCGCATATATCATACCACGTTACAAATCTGGAGATGAGACTGACATGAACAATAATCAGCCCATAATAACAATATATATATTCCGACAATGATAATTACGGAATTCATTCCAAGGCATGATCAGCTTGATATAAATAGTAACATTAAACGTAGAGAGCAAACATGTGTTATTAGATTGTTTTAAGTTTACTAGTTCAAAAATTGTACATTAAAATACATGATACAACGCATAAAACATGGTGACTTGAAGGTTTGTTTAAAGACCTGTTCTGTAAGGGACAAATCGTAGGAGTACTTAATTCCCAAGTCTACTACTGTATGTAACTTAGATATCACCTTACTATTTATGTTAAGATCTAATTTGAGTTGTGAACGAGAACACAATTGGGGGCAATCAAGTGTATTCGAATACAGAATTACAGAGCGTCTTAGTAAAATCTGAGGACCGTACATTAAATACTTCATTTACAAAATGTCAATCAAACGTGTCAGACTTCATTGTTCTTTCGTTTCCACACCAATCATTTTCTATTCTCGTTCTCTTTTCTTCGATCTTCTTAATCTTCTGCCGCCAGACATTTCACTTTCGATTGATGGTACATACTACTTATATCTGTCGATATCAGTGGCTTAGTATTCAAAATACCGGACTTTCCATCTGGAATTCGCACGTTGAAAATTAGATTGATACAACTATGCAACACTTTTTTTGATTTTCAAGTTGATATCAGATCATAATTACTTAAAACTTGAACCTATATTTCTAAATATTCAGCAAATACGATTGCTTGTTATTCCTTGATATTTGAACTCAATTGTGTTTTGTTTTTTTATTTCAGTTTATGTATTGGAATCAAGCATTTGCTTGATTTGATTGATCTCGTTTCGAAGGTAAATAATGATCTTGTGATTCATACTGTTCTGTGTACAGTTATCTGATTTCACTGGCAAAAATGTTATTCAATGATATATTTGTAATTCACATTTTCCGCTTCATATATCCATATATCCATATGATGAATTCAAATCTAGTTAGGCGGGATTATGATAAACCTTCAAAGCAATATAAACAGAGATGGATGGTGGCTAGCAGTAAAATCCAGGACGCGTGTTTCGTCTTATTTTGGACTTTTCACCTGGATGAACCTGCATCCTTGAGTTGACTCGAACTCAATACTGTTTGCTTCAAGCGCCATTGCGTTGTTCACTTAGCTACTGAGTTCAGATAGCCAATAATAGTTTTAATTCATGGTCTGGTATCTGTTCATGTGAATTTTTATCAGGTTCCAAACTATGCGTCTTACTAAATTCAAACATCCATTATAAGAAATTGAAGTTAATAAGTTCCAACTTTTCAGTGAAATACTCGAAATCAATTTTTCAGTCTGTGAACTTGTTCCTAAGTGACATTTATTTTAGTCATTGCTTTTTAACAGGTTTAACTTACGTGATATAAGATTCAAAGAAACAAGTGTTCTTAGCTCAAATGAATCATCACCATATGCATACTCCAGTCATCATGCCCAGGGAGCAACTGGTAGGCTTGTCATGACCTTGAAGTTGCTCTCTCTACGACGTACTTAACCTGAATAACCCAAATCATCACACATTACATTATCACTGTAAAAGATGAAATTAGCAAGCTGTAGATAACGAATGAATCGGAATTATATTAGCGTTCGTGGTTCTGAAGAAATGCTAAACAGAATGAATACTAGTTCAAAGGAAAAGAATTAATTGATGAAATTAAAATTTCTAAACTAATAATAATGAATACTTTTGTGTTTCTGTGAATGATTCTAAGTTTTCAGTATACCAATCATGATTTTTATTCATTTGTTATTATGACTATTACCTTTTTTCATTTTTCTTCATATTTGTCAAGCGGACAATTAGTTTTCATAATTCTGATTCATAAATTAATTTCATCCTTCTATTCTTCTCTAACCCCTTGATTATTGCGCAACCTCATTTGATATTGACAATCTTTTCTGTCCTTTTATAGACATATCTATTAACGACTACGACTATAAATACAAATGTACAGCCTAAATAAATGATTTTATCGAGATGAAAATTTTATTGACTATTTGTTACCTTCATTGCCTAATACTAATCTATCAATCTTGTTTGTCTGGACCTCCGGAAAAAGTTGCTATCCTCACACGGTTTTTTATAGGTTTAATTGTTGTTTATAGATAGAAAAAAATAATTGATTAGTGTGAAAAATATCTCAATGAAACTTTGTTTTTAAGAAAAGGTTTAAAGAAGTAACTTGGTTCCATACGATGTATTATGTCACTAAAATATCAAGTTGTGTTATTGGTATACATTCATTGATAAATCTCCTATGTAACTCCATTTTATTGAGAGTAAAATGTGGTGAGTTTATAATTTATAAACGACCTTTGAATGACGATGAAGTGAGCTTGGAAATATCCACCTTGTCAAAGTTAAAAGAGGACTTAAGATTAGAATTTAGAGTTAGTGACTAAGGTTAAGAATTGGATTTCGGATTTTCATCACGAACTGACATAAGCTATAGTGCCTAAATGCCATATAACTTTATGGAGGAATGAATTTTCGTGCCAAAATTCATAACGTACCATCTTTAATTTCATCGGTTCGTCTACAAATTATAGTCTCAATAAAAAAGAAACAATTTAAAATTATCCATTAGATAGTAAAAATGATTCTTAACGATGAGATTTAACCATTAAGTAAAGAAATTACTCTTTCATCAATATGTACAACACTTTGAATTGGTTAATTGTTTTCTTTCTTTTCTTCCTAGAATGATCCAGATCATCGTGTTGCTGCATTTCTTGCTAAATTAGAAGAAGTTGGTATTGTTGATATATAAGAACGAATGAATAATATTTATTACAATTTGTTACTATCTCTATATAGTTACAGATATTTATGATCACAATGGTTGTGTTATGCCAAAACAAAAAGAGTCCTAATTCCACGATATATATGTATATTCTATTGATGAATTTGTTTAGTTATTTTAATCTATATAATCATTCCGTGAATATTTATATTTTCCTCAAATTATGGTTGTTATATAATCACTTGATTCTTTCAATTTCTTTTTACTTGTCTTTTTTTCTTCTTCGGATAAATTCATTGTCATTATTTCACAGTTCATATTATACACTAAATTTACTTCGTTACTCTTATTCTCTTAGAGATATTGTGTAACCATCATTCGTAATACCATTGTCTCCTACTATGCATATTACAATAAACGTTTATTTACTTCTCATTCATTCCCTTCAACATAAGCAAAATCATAATGAGCCAATGCAGGACAAACATATCGTGATATAATAAAAACTTATTTATTTATTCATTCTCATTTAAATTTATATCTTCATAGAATTAAAATATATCTGTTGAAGAGATAATTTATTTCTTATAGGAAAAAGGAACTAGACATTTTCATTAGCATAGCATACTTGTAGAATGTTGAGGGAAATGATACCGACCTTTTATAAATATGTTTATTATTAAAAGGGCAGTGATGTACGTGTATTTTTGAGGACGTCAAGTTTCGGTTGTTGGCTCCACGACAACTTGGTACATCAATTTTCTCAAAGCTCCAACTGATTCCTTTAATGAAATTGTTTTTAGGAGTTATTTTCAGTGCTTTATGCTGCTCATAATAGTAGATGCGTTGTCATAGCCTGAGCGCTAGATTTTGACTTAAGTGATCCATCTTAGCTTCTATATAACCACAATTTTGTGAAGGTTTTTAAATTACTTAGTAGTAGTATAATTTGTTTACTACAATTTGGTTTGATCTTACTAACTATTATAAAGTATAGCTTTCGATAGCAATTATGGATGAATAAAAAATACAGCTGAAGATTGAAGTTCGCCACAAAATATCTGTTTGTCCCAATTAGTTGTTGACCTGGTAGCTTGAGGAATTTCTATTATGTCTTTTGTTTCTGTTAATTGCCGCGTGACGAAATGGTCAATAGAATACGACTTAAATGAATTTACCCTTGAGCTAAACAAATGGTACATTAACCAGTACTAGTAGCTTTTTGTCAGCTCAGAGACTATATTGGTCCCCAAATCAGTAACTTTCCGTCTAGTCTTACTCGTTGAGTGCAGAACACAATCTTAGTCTCTACTGTATGAAGTATATATTTCACATATATGTAGTTTATTCAAAAGCAGACCAGGCCGCATCTTACCATAAAATGGTAAATAACAATTATACAAAATCAGTCCAAAAGTGGCTGTGAGTTTGAGAGGCTGTAAGCAATAGATTGGGAATAAATCAAGAATAGTAAATCATTTGATCATAACCAATCGGTCAGTTATGTAGAATATATATATCACAAGTCTATAAATAGCTCCAGGAAGTTACTCAAACTAATTTTCGGATACAGAAGTTCGATTCCTTAATTTTGAGATGAGCATCGTCAAGTATGTGGTTTCCACTATTGCAGTAATGGATAAGTAAATCAAGATTAGTTTGAATCATGATTTAATGAATGAGATATTTACCAGTGGTGTAGGTTGTTAGACCATCACGAATGTGTTCACAAAGCTAACACTTGGTACTACATGCTCTTTACGTACAATAATAGTTTTAGCATTACAGAAAAGCACTACATTTGAATAAACTTCGCACCTAATAAATAACTCTGAATTATGAGTACTGTTCCATATTATATTCTATGTTGTACTTCGCATTCTTCTGTTGAAATTTTGTAGGCACATATATAGAGTGAATGGTATTTACCGCTTTATTTGTCGATAATTTCTCACCAGTGTTTTATGAAGTATAGAAAATTAAGCTATTTCTTGGTCACTCAAATACACTTATTATTTGACGGATTTCTTATCTCATTGTGTGGTCATTTTCGCTTGAATTTAGATCTGGCTTCTCGAATTCAGCTGAAGGTGTTGAGGCGTTGCACATCATTTTTAAGAGTTGTGGATTAAACGGTATAACTATTTTAGATTCTCGAAAATCTTCATATTCTGAGTCAAGCACGTTAGCTTTTAGACCGAATGGCTCTGAATGACATTTTAAAATACGTCCAGCTTTTAATTCATTGCGAATCTACTGACATCTAGTTCTGTTTGTAAAGTACTTTCGTAATAAACTAACTTCAGGCACAATACAATTAAAATAATTTTGCTACAACAGTGCATATACGACCTTTAATGATCATCCTATCTTTCATCATGTTAAAGAAATTCAGATCACTGAGTTGAATTCCACTTGTCCGTATTTTGGATTTCAGTCAGTTCTCAACATAACTGGATCTGTCATCAATATCATTCGTGAAGTAGTATCTCACTCTTCATGTAATTACCCTCTTATTGTCAACAAAGTGAGAATTGTCACTGATTTGTTTATAAAAAAACATGATCGTTTGGTCATTCACTGATCACTAACTATTAGGCAGTATTATCCTTCTCTCATTCACAGTACTTGACTAGATTCTATTGATTAATTTATTATTTGGTTACTAGTTTTATGCGTTATTTCTTGATACAAGTTGTTAATGGTAATCGTTTGATGAGCAAACTTCACTACATTTAAAATCAGTGGAAAGTGTATAGCGACTCACGTGCAAATGGGTTTATTTTCATTTAACCCAGTTAAGCCCTTTTTGTTAACTTATTTAGCGGACAAAGCCATCCGCGCTATAGCAATGTATTGTATCCTTATTATTATTTTGAGCTTGTATGAAATACGCATGCTTGAATATTGCTTACTGCCTACGCATTTATTCACTCTGCTAGTCTTACTATTAACCGCTTATTCGATTCGATTACTCATTCATTTCACATGGTATATATATGTCCATGTTATTCATATTGAACTCTCAATCGCTCACTCGCTCGCACGGTCTCGTCACGCCCTTGCTCTGGCTCTCGTTCGCTTGCTTGCCTTTCGGCACAACTCTCCTATGCTTGTTTAACACATCTGTACATTTGGATATATGTGTGTGGTTTCGCAATAAACGTAATCGACACTTCGTATTTGCCTTCTGATTAATATACCGTTGGTACGTTATATAGAACGGTTATCGCGACGAACAGTATACGAAGTTTAAGGATTATATCAAATACCGACCACCACAAGTGATTTTTAAAGGGCATATCAAAATTCTGCATGAAATTATTCCGATTAAGATCTATTTTCACTAGCAACTTTAAATGAGTTCATGTATCTGTGTACTTCTAACCCGTATGTTTATATCGTTCTGTACATCAGTTTAAAGGTCAATGGACATTCACTAATTAGAATTCAAACATGATATTTTTTCTACATCATTCATATGTTATCAAAGGATTAAATCTAGACCTATATTAAGCTAGTCAAGATGGATATTTTAAACGTTTTAATAAATTGCAAGTTTTTAGACGATCATACAACCATGAGAATGTGAGTTTGTGAAGATCATGGATCTATTGAAGTTAGACAATAACACCGTTGAACGCCAATTCAGTAGTTTAGGGATCAAATGTTCACAAGAGAGACTGCAGATCCTGGGTTCATCTCCCACATGCGGGTTCTTAGCTTTATACTGTTGAGGAGTCCCATACTAGAACGAAACGAATGTTTTCAATGATAGTCTAGCTTAAATCAACAAAACTAAACAAAATATTTAAGCAGAATACAAAATATACAATATTATCATATTGTGGTGTTTGAATGAACTAATGATTCCTTTGTACTTGTTGAATACTTGATTTCAAATTACAAATTCAGTACATTCCTTTGTGCTGATCTAGTACTTCTTGATCCGATTACGTTATTTCTGGGATTCTTAGTTCATACTATAATTCAAATACTCCTAATTATCATACATATTCTTACATCTACTATAAACTTTACATGTTTCAACTAATTTACATAGAAATTCTCAATTGAAGTAAAAGCAAAACACAAAAAACTGTTTTGTTTCAATTAACTTTCCAACGAATTCTTTTTTTAAAAAGAAAAATGTCTACAATCATGATTTCCCATTTAACATTCATAAAAGAAAAAATGCCAAAAACAAAAAAGAATCCACTTGATGAATAGGGTAATGTAATTCTTATTGAAAATGTGTAGTTTTTATTGTTCACCATTTCATTCACTCACTCACTCAGTCACTCACTCATTCTTCACTAATATTGAATGGTGATGTCAAAAAAAGAGGAAAGAAAAATCCACTTCATAATTCACATAAACTTTTATTTTTATTTATTATATCACAATAGAATCAGTAAAAAAACATCGTTTTCAAGTGTTTGTTTGTTTCATCTAATGGTAAGTTGTGTTATGGTAATAAAGTTGGATACTTGCATTTAGTGCAGCTTGAGTTATGCTTGTTGTAAGTGTATACAAATATATATATAGGGAGAGAGAGTGTGTGTTTGATTCGTTTTGTACTGTTTACTTGATTGTTCACATTGATGTTTATGACTGTAATTGATCAGTCTTTTATTGGCATATGTATATCCTGTTCGGAATGCCTAGATGTAGTCTTAAGTCATAAGCTTTTTAAGCAAAGATGTATAGTGGCTAGCAGTGGGATCAAGGACGCACGTTTCGTTTTATTTGGGACTCATGAACTGGATATACCCGTATCATAGTTTGTGTTCACTCCTTAACTCGAACCAAGTAATGTTCACTTCAAACGCTACCACATTATCCATCATCTACTAAGTTAATAAACAGATTCAAACAAACAATGCAAAAATGAATTCAAACTTCACCCCATTACGCAAGTTAGTGGCTATCAGGACTCAGCAGCTAAATGGATATCTCGATGGTATTTGAAGCGAAAAGTACTGGGTTTGAGTCCCAAAGTGAACATCATCTCCGGGATGCAGATGTATCCATCTGACGAGTCCGAAATAGGATGAAACGCGCATCCTGGATTCCGCTGCTAGACACCATCCATCTTTGTTTATAATACATACATGATTAACTGTTAAATGTTTACCAATTTTTTCTTTCCAGTTAAAACAGTTTCTTCCTAGATTTTTACGTGTAGAAGTCTATAGTATGTAGAAATATTGATATAAATTAACATTTGTAGATATAGAATGGATATAATGTGGCTAACGGTTGCGACCGAAATGCGTGTTTCGTCCCTTTTTGTATTCATCAGCTGGATGAATCTGCATTCATTTATACACGTACACCAATGAAGGCTGATCAAATTTCAGTCAGAATATCAAAAAGATTGATTTTTCAAATTGAACAATGATCTGAATAATACAATATTATATAGGGGAACTGACTGAGAATCCCTACATGTTTAGTGATGATTGTAAAAACTGTATGAAACTAATATATTAACTTATTTTTTTCCAGTCTAGTAATAACTTTCTTAATTTAGTTGAATTGTAAACCTGCTGAGCTTCTTCTCGTGGTGGGGCT